TCGATGTACATGGTTTCTCGCAGCGTCTCGTTGGGATCCAGGTCGATGTACGAGTCTTCCTGTCGCTCTGACGTGTCGCTGTCGCTCTCTTCGCTTTTCTCCATCACCTCGTTCTCCCACTCCTCCTGCTCCGGCTCGTTCTCCCGGTCCGACTTGTCCGAGTACAGGTCAGGATCCTTAAACTGGTCGCTGTCATTGAACCTTGACGGATCACACAAACACAACATCTGCGTTAAAGAATATCCTACTTCAGACTACAGTTGAAGTCCAAACTATCAGCACTCCTGTCTAAAAAAAGAGGGTGGTACAAATGCAGTGCCTGGTAAACTTTTAGCATTAAAAATATTAATTATTCTCAATAAAATATTGATCTAAAGAAGCGTAACATGAAAGCTGTGTGTGTGTGTGACTCACTGAAAGCCCTGCATGTTGTGCGCGCGCAGCAGACTGTAGAAGTTGATGTGTGAATGCTCTGCTGTCTGCGGCGGATCCTCTTTCCCTTCTCTGATCATCGTCCTCTTCAGCAAACTGGAGCATTTCAGAGCCAGCTCAAGTGCGTCCATCCAACACCGACCTGCACACCACACACACCTTTATGATGCTGTAGTTTGTTTGGGTTTCAGTGTGTGTGTGTGTGAGAGAGAGAGTAAAGGTACAAAAGCTGTCACGCTCTTTAAGATCTCAAAACTCAGGGCTTCTTGTACTACCTAGAATAGCAAAGTCTACTAAAGGAGGTCGAGCCTTCTCACTTATGGCTCCTAAACTCTGGAATAGCCTTCTTTATAATGTCCGAGGCTCAGACACACACTCTCGCAGTTCAAAACTAGATTAAAGACCTATCTTTTTAGTAAAGCACACACTCAGTGTATCAGATAGCGGTATGATACATGAATGTGCTCCACACAGGGGGTCTGCATCTCATTTATATACACACTGAACAGCAGCTACCACGCTAATTATTCTCTTTATTCTCTATTTGCACCTGGGGATACACATCCCGAGGCCCTCAGACTATGCAGTGCCACTGATTCGATCCAAGACCAGCGACGAGATGATCCCAAGGTTTCCATAATCCTGGACCAGGCCGTATCCTGAGCAACCAGCTCCCAGCCTCCAGCGCCTAGACTGCAGCTCTGCACAAGACGTTTTGCCAGTGGCGGTGCCCAACTGGGCCTGGTTTCTCTCGAGGTTTTTTAATTCTTCACTTTTGTCAAGTTTTTTCCTCGCCGCTGACGCCACTGATTTGCATGGTTCGGGACCTGTAGAGCTGCACATCGATGGATTTGCTCTGCAGTGTTTGGACTCTCAGTAGTGATTATTAACCCACACTGAACTGAGCTGAACTATGATTTACTATGATCTTCTATGGTAAGCTGCTTTGACACATGCTACA